TTTTTTTTTTTTTTTGGTGAGTATTAGACAGCATTTTTTACAGTATTACATAACATCTGAAAGGGCAGAATAAAGACATATGTAACAGCTAGCTCCAGTAGATCTATTTTATGCACTACATATATAAATATATTTTTTTTCAGTTGTTTTCTGCATAGGTGAGGACATAGTTGCAACTTTATGCAACACCTGGTGCGAACACTTTATTTATCAGTGAGAGTGTTGCCATTAACTTCATAGATATCATGACAGGAGAAGCCCAGTGGTCTGTAAAACACATTTGCACTAGTTTCTGGCAATTTAGCACAAGTACCAGAAATGAGAAATTTTAGCTGGTTGGATCCTGAGCTTCTCACTCTGGTACTTGAATTTGATGGGGGACTTTGTACAAGTCAGACAGCAAAAATCATGCCTCTCCTTTGCTCCTGAGGAATGCAAAAGCATTAGACAGTTCTCAAGTGAAATAGCTTGACGTAAGCATAGTGGATTTGGCATTTACTTCTTGGATATCACTTTCATAACCTAATACACCCAAGTTTTGGCCTAATTTCTGCAAAAAGTGGGCATGCTGTGGGTATAATAACTGTTGTCACATGTGTTTTTTCTTTTGAACTGATGATGTTAGCAAAATAACTCTTTCACTCCCCACCCTACCCACCACCAGCTTCTGTGAACAGTTCTTTAACTGTAATCAATGCTCATTTTAGCTGAAATCCAGCACTGCCTGGTTAATGCTGGCGATGTGGGATGTGGAGTGTTTGAATGCTTTGAAAACAATTCTTGCGAGATCCGAGGCTTACACGAGATCTGCATGACATTCCTGCACAACGCTGGAAAATTTGATGCCCAGGTAACACGATGAAATGTCCTACCTATCTGCTTGCTTCCAATATACACGTGGCATGTATTTTAGTTCTTTAACACATCTTTGGGGAAAAAAAAGTTACCATTACGGAGAAAACCTACTTTTGCACATGACCAGCTTCAAATAAGAATTTTTCTGGTGAAGGGCCCAGAATCAAGACCCAAGAACAGTAACAGAGCAGCACTGTGCAGCCTCTCCCAGGAGACAGGCTGTCTCTAGCTACAGCTCCCTGTGATCACTTTCTCCTCCTGTACCCAGGATAACTAAATCAAGAACACTAATGTAGCTGAACATGGTTTTCAGAAACGCTAAGCAGCTTAAGCTTCTACACCATGTGTGTTCAAAGCTGATTCTGAAATGCAGCTTGAGCACCCAGCTCATTTAGACGTATTGAAATATTTCTCTATGTGCAGTTATTAAAGTTGGTTCTCAAGACTTTCACACAACCACTTTCACACAACCATTACAGGCAACCCCCAAAAGCTGCTGTATTCAAGTAAGTCTTTGGTTCAAGCAGTAAAGTTAAAATGCAGTACTACCATGGTATGCGATACTAAGTTTGTCTCCGTCATTTTCTTCCCAGACCATTTATGCATCACTGGGACATCCTGTTATTATGTCTTGTAAACCTACTCCCCCATTTCAGTGTGGAGGGAAGAGAACTTTACGATGGGCCAGCAGCATTTGGCTTGACCGTGCAGTTTACAGTATAACTTCACTAAAAGCACCAGCCTCATGGCACTGCTAAAAGCATGGTATAAAGTAGACCTCTCTTCAGGATTCAGCCTGTTCCACAAGGGATGGTGGGACCACGCAGTAGGAATCACTTTTGAAGTGCTGGAGTTTTAGGCTCAAATTGTCAAGGATGTACAAAGGCTCTGGCTAGCCATTAAAACGGGAATTGTTTCTTCTGTGGGTATCTGAAAACCTTCAACTTAATTTCCAAGTGGCTTCCAGAAAAAATTCATTTTTGCACAGCAGTCTGTCAATGAACAAGGTTGACCAAAGAAGTAAGCCCTGTTGGGAGGGGAGGGAAATGTGCCTACAAAGGCTGAGTGTAGCCATTGATGCCTATTCCCTACGATCCCCAGATATTGCTGATCCAAAACAGCCCATTTCACATCCAGGCTGTCGCCATTGCAGTGCAGAAGTATTGAACCCCTGGAGCTTTATTTAAAATAGAGGTGACTGTAGCCTCGGCTATGACATGGCTTTTCATGGCTCCTCTCTGTATTATCTACAGTTATTTCCGACTGCATTAAATGACGAGACATTGGCCATTTCCTGTTCTCTGCTTTCCGCTCTCCTTCCCTCTCTCTGAAACCTGAGAATTTATGTCAGGTTTGGTTTGCATAAGAATTTTCTTTTTCATCCTTACTTGCCTAATGTGCTGTGCATGTTTGTTACTGAAGGGGAGGGCAAGTAAGTGCCTTTGGTATAGGGAATAGAAGGGGATGATGACCAAAGCAGTTCTTTGATCAGCAAGAAACACTTCTGGCTTGAAACAATTTGGGGACAAAATCTCCTTGCAGGTCTGGGTGAATCTTAATGTCAGTGAAGCTGTGCCAGTGTACTCTTTGGATAAAGGTTAACAAGAATTTGGTCTTTGTGAAGCACTTGTGTAAAATAATCTGAAGCTAATGAAGAGATGGAGGCAGTGCAGGAGGCTTCCACACACCTATTGCTCAGCACAGTAAAGGGGGTCAGCAGAGCTGTCAGAAAGCGATATACACACCGTGGATGGCAGCTATGGTACCAGATAGCAAAGAGGAAAAGGAAGGAATGGTTTTGGTGCCCACTAAGTAGTTGAATGAAGGAATCACAAACAGCAGTTAAGTTAAAGAGATGCTGCTGAAGCAGCTGTCCTGCAACTTACTTTTCTAGTTTCTTGATTTGATTTTTTCTTTTAACCTTGCTTACAATTTCTTGCAGCAAACAGGCTTCAAGACACTGTAGGATTATTATTAGTGCTGATTTGAGTCGCTCTCTGAGGAAGTGCTAGTAGAGAAAACACTGACAGATGGGGAATGGACAGATGCATATAGACAATGCATACATGTCTGTGAGTTTGCAAACTAATTTTAAAATTTAAAAAAACATATCTCGCAGTTACTGAATGGGTTTCTGCTTGTGGTCCTGGGGACCTCAGCCATGGCACGATGCCCTCCCCTTTGTGTGAACCTGCTGTGCTGACATTCCAGAAGTGAACAAAGCTAGCAACTCAAGCACTGAATTATTTCAGGTGCTTACTTCTGCCCTTTCCCTTGTTGGGCATTCAGCTGTTGGGGTAGAGGAAACCTCAAAATACCAGTGAGGAAGCCCTGTGTGTTCAGCTCCACTGGAATAGCAAGGCCAGGTATCTTGGCATGATCTCTAAGGGCAGAGAAGCAACGAGAAGTGGGGGGGAAAGCAATTAAGTGGTACCCTTAGCAATCTAATAACCCTTGACATTGTCCTACAGAGGAGCAGCTAGCTGGGCATAAATCAGCTGCTGTGCTTAATGGAAAAAAATACAGACCTACTCCATTTCTTTTCTTCTTAGGGAAAATCCTTCATTAAAGACGCTCTGAAGTGTAAGGCTCATGCCTTGAGGCATAAATTCAGCTGCATCAGCCGTAAGTGCCCTGCCATTAAAGAGATGGTGTTCCAGTTACAGCGGGAGTGCTACCTGAAGCATGACCTCTGCTCTGCTGCCAAGGAGAACGTCCAGGTCATTGTGGAGATGATTCACTTCAAAGACCTGCTGCAGCATGAGTAAGTGCCTCCGTGCTAGTGCAGTCAGAGGCGTGGGAGCTCCTTCCAGGAGCACGATGGTGCCAATGGGTTGTGCATCTGCCCAAGAGCTGTTTCACCTCCCTCTGGCCTTAAGCATGTCCTGTTTTCCCAGGTACCAGACCAAGGTAATGCTTTCTTCACAGGGGCCCTTGAAGACTAGTTTGTTTATGAAGGGCTAGATGTGACTGTGGAAGGGAATGAAATGGGTTGAAGTTGGATCTGTCCGTCTCTTTGGTCCTTTACCAAATACAGTGTCAGTGTCTGCTGTTTCCAGAGGCATCTGACAATGTCTCTCTGCTTTCTGAGCTCAAAGACACCGCTCCTGACCCCAGTATCTTGTTAAAGATGACAGCTAGAGGAGTTGGGGGAAGAAGGTCTGTGCAAAGTTGTCAGTAAGATGAGAATTTCTTCTTTAAATACATACTTTCAAATGTCTTGTACTTAATTGTCCCTGAAAGAGCTGCAGTCCCCCAGGTAATCTCCCATTCATCTTATTCCTTATTAATCTCAGATGCTTTTTAATAAAACATGGAGGTGTACAAAATGAAGGCACAAGTCAGATTTTTGAGGAGTTCATCCCTCTAACTGGGAACACAGCCTCCCTCCAAGGAATGGCAGGCACGAATCCTATTTGGAATTGATCAAAGCTGCTACATGACAGCAACAAACCAGGCACAAGCTGTTTGTACCAACTCTTTGTGCACAAATGCAAAAATCAGAGCCTGTTTTTCTTGCAGGTGAACATCTCGCTCCCAAACAAGAAGGCTGAGCCACAGCCTGGCAGCAGGCTTACCTTAGAGCATCTTCCTACCACGCCTCTATGCTGCCTTATCCCTAGCAGATACTAGCACAGAAACCACAAATCCCAGTGATCGTGACAGATACTTTTTTTTTTTAACAGAATCATTTCTCCTGGACTTTTAGCCTTGCATTTTCATTGCTCTCCAAAGGAGCTGTGCCCAAATTCCCTTACTTTCTGTTGAAAACCGCTCCCCCCTAATACTTAAGCTGCTGTTGCAGAGAGACTCTCTGATTTCACTCTCAAATGCAGAACCGTTTGCTGTGGTTTGTATGAGCTGAACATGGTGGGCTGAAGGCATGGTGCCCAGGGTGAAGGGCCACATCCCACTGCTTGGGGGAGAGGGAAGCAGGGCTCCATCCTGCACCGCAGCACATCTTTGTGGGCACTGCTCAGGCTGTGTTAGTAGGCTATAAATTGGGTGCTTGGTACCAGTCAACCCGCCCCCCATCATTTGGAGACGTGAAGAACTATGGAAGTCAAAGGCCTGACCAAAGAGAAGTTATCCTTGTTTTACAAACAGGCTAAAGCAGGAAT